AAGAAAGTAAAAGGTTACAGCATGATCGCCACTGGCTTCTGTTTTGAGCCATATGTGATAACGTCTCTAGCCACTGTGTTGCACCATCTCTCAGACCCTAGCCAGGGAGTCGTGAAGGACCAACACAAGCCAGTCCTTTGCAGCTTTCTTTCATACCAGGACACCATGTCATGCACTGACCACCTCTCCGCTTCTTCCAACCAGTCCCAGAGTCGGCAAATAATGCACGACGTGGAATTCTCTGGGACGACATTCGTAGAACATGTCCAAGCCACCGAAGTCGGTGTTTCAAGATGGTGACACCAATTGAATTATCGTCTCTGTGCCCGAACACACGATGCCGAACCTCTGCATTACTGACATGGTGTTGCCACTGGATGTCAGCAATCCTTCGGAGACAGCAATGATCGAACACAGAGAGTCGTCTAACGTCCTCAACCCGGAGAGACCAGGTTTCACAAGCATAGAGCAAAACTGCTCTCACCGACGCGTTGTAAATCCGACCTTTTACAGCCAGACTAACATCACGAAGGCGCCAAAGATGACCCAGATTGGCATAAGCCGCTCTGCCTTTCACTATACGTGCATTGATCTCATCACTCACACCCCCACCAGCACTTATGCAGCTACCCAGATACACAAACTTCTCGACTATTTCTATCGACTCATTCCATGACGTTGGTACACTCTCTAACACCCAAACCTTTGTAAACAACGTCGTCAATTCCTCAGTCGAAAAGTCACCACCATCTTTAAAAAGAGCCTTTGATAAGTATGGCGGTGTTCTAACATTTGGCGGAGGGTGAAGATATGATCAATACATCCTCGACCAGAACGAAACCCAGCCTGCTCCTCGCGAGTCAATCTTTCTCGGGTTTTGAACAACCTACGAAGTATGACGGAAGCCAATAGCTTGGACGCAATCGGAAGTAGACTTATCCCCCGATAGTTGTTACAGGAACGACGTGAACCCTTTTTAAAGATAGGGACAACTATCGACTCATTCCATGACGTTGGTACACTCTCTAGTTCCCAAACCTTTGTAAACAACGTCGTCAATTCCTTAGTCAAAAAGTCACCACCATCTTTAAAAAGAGCCGGAGGTAAGTCATCTGGGCCAGGTGATTTGTAACGCTTCAAGAGTTGGAGTTCCTTGCGGACTTCCTCCTCATTTGGTGGATCAGTCGTCACCGGCCATGGAGGGCAGGACAGTCTGACCGATGTTGCCGGAGCAGCAGGCCAGTTGAACTGCCCTTCGAAAAATTCTGCCCATCGTCCAAGACGTCGATGGATGTTAGTGATTGGCATCCCATCATCCTCGCAGATTGTTTCACTCACACCAGACTTCTTGCTGCCAGTGGCTCGGATGAGCTGGGAGCTTCCGGTAGTTACCAGATGCAGCTGCTGCTTCCAGCTCATTAGCACGCATCGACCACCAGGCTTCTCGGTCCTTACGCAAGCTTTGCCCAATTTCCTTACGTAACATCCTTCGTTTATGGTCAAACTCACGGTCACCCGGAGTAGACCGACGGGCTTCAATGAGTTGTAAGGAACCAGAAGAAACCCAGTGCTTAAAAGCGGGACGTTTCGCAAACCCACAACTGACTGTTCCCGCCATTTTCATGGCGTCATGCAATTGCAACCAATGCTCATCTATACTTTTCGGTGGAGTGGTAGCTAGCCTAGAGGCTAGCTCGGTTCGATACTTACTTGCAACAGGAGTTTCAACCAACTTGCTGACATCAATCCTTTGGATTGTAACTCATTTATACGTAATATCTAGTGTAACAAATGAGTTTTATTTACCTAATTTTGACTGTATTATAATGATGAAACATTGAAATTTATTGACAAATGAGAACTATAGGAATTAGGTTACTTCAGTTTGTAGAATGGATCAATATTTTTAGTAATGAATTCATAAAACAAAACTGTGTACGTCAGGGTATTAGACATATACCGAAGTGTTATCGCAACCGTATTGGTCAGTTTCGTTTATTTCAAGACGACTAGTACTGAGTCCCTATATATTTTTACTGCACACAAACTTAGTTGCTTATCCAATGTAACACAACTGAAATTTCGCTACTAAAGTCCTTATTCTCATTTAGCATACAATTATTGGAGTGTAATTCCATTAATTATAGGTTATCATTGAAAACACTGTAGCATCTAACACAGTTGTTACCTAAATCTCTTCGTTCGGAAAAAATTCCGTGATCATTCCAGCTACTAAAAATTGAAAATGCTAATTTAGATGACCTTTCTAAGGACACTATATGAATGTATTATGTCAAATTGTTATTCATCTCATGCATACATACCACACATTATGTAGAATTTAATGTTATTATCTCTATTCACATATATATTACGTTAAAAAAAAACAAATTACTAACATACAGATGATTTGTCCTTCAAGTATAACTAGAACAGATTTGTTATTAAAAAATCCTTAATCAATAGGAAAACATTTTTTGAAATACATGATGGCGGATTTGACAGAAATATACTCAAGTATCTGAAAACTATTTTATATAAAAGTGTATTTTACTAGTTTTAAAAGTTTGTATTTTTTTAATTGTTGAGACAGCCTTCAAGTAATAGCACGATATACTGCTTATAGAGCACATATATCAGCAAAGACTGGTTAAGTTCAACACTGAGTATAACATCAAAGGTAAAATGGAATACAACAATACACATCGACGAATTTTATGGTTATTATGACTCACTAGACTCGTGAAAAAATTTCCAAGTGTTGCTCAACAGGACGAAAGATTCAGTAGATATCCAGCTGCGAGATCAACAGATAGGATCGGTCGTGCACAGACCAAGTCGCGACACTACGGATCATCGTTACACAATCAACTGAATGGAACTCGTCATTATACACGTTAACTTCCTTGATTATGAGAAAACTTTTGACAGCCTAGATAAAAGAACCTTATGAAACCTTCTTCGACACTATGGTGTACCTGACAATATCGTCAACATCATCCGGAATTCATAAGACGGACTACACGGCAAAGTTGTGTATAGAGGACAGTTGACAGACGCATTCCAAGTGAGAACCGGTGTCAAACAAGGCTATCTACTCTCCCCCTTCCTCTTTCTTCACGCGATTGACTGGATTATGAAGACCTCAACATCTGAGAGGAAGCACGGAGTACAACGGAAAGCTTGGATACAACTAGACTGGAGCCGTCTTTACATCAGTAGACCTTAATATACACAAGGGAAAAAAAGAAAAATCCTTAAATATAACACGGAGAACACGAACCCAATCTCACTTGAAGGAGAAAGTCTGAAAGAGGTGGTAACTTCCACGTATCTGTGCAGTATCACCGATGAACAAGGAGGATCCGATGCAGACGTAAAGGCAAGGATTGGCAAAGCAAGAGCAGTAGTTCTACAGTTGAACAACATATGGAACTCAAAACAACTGTCAAGAAACACCAACGTGAGAATCTTCAATACGAACGTCAAAACAGCTCTATTGTACGGAGCTGCAACTTGGAGAACTACTGATCAAAGAATATTTGCAGATAAAGAAGAATGACAGTTAATAACACAGATGATAAACGTGTCTTTTTTAAACAGTTACTATAGTAGCACTTTAAACGGATAACAAAACCGAAATCTATTGTAATATTGTATAGTTATGCTGAAAATCATTTACTGTAATCAAACATATGGTATTAAATAACGGAATGCTTATTAATTAAGTTATGTCATGATAAGCAAGCATCAATTAAAGAAAACTATTCTGGTTTCTATTGTTAGTCAGTAATTATAATTTTTAACTAAGAATTTCATGACAATAAACCTGGGTGTAGCATTGATGGATAATAATGAAAGCCTCGCAATTATAATTTATTCAGTTCAACAAAGAACACAATACACTTGAATGCATCCATCTAGAGTTTGAAAATTTACATTGTTACCACTAAATTATATAATATAGTAAAATCCAACTAGTTTACAGTATACTACTTATTTTATTTCACTATAAAGTAATAAATATTTGAAAGATAAATAGATAAAAATTATCTATAAAAGTAATAAATAAATCGAACGAATATTTTAAAACAAATTGTTAATTGTCAATCAACATTGTAATAATTGATTTGTCTAAGCAATTACACACATCATTATCATTAACATGTTACAAAATCTATTGAAATGGAAAGAGTAAAACAGTTAAATAGTCATGATGACAATAATGAAAAATCATTATGTTCTTCTAAACAAATACACACATCGTATATGACTCAGTTTGTATCTGTACATAATTAGATTTAGATTTAATATGCATCTCTCTCTCTCTCTCGCTATATATGTATATTTGGGATAACGAATTACAAGCCACTTATCAATGGGAAATATACATAATGAACTTGTGTCATTATTGCTTTAGTCAGTTTTAAATGGTCGAAAAACCGAAAGTTAGACAACTATGAAAGAAAAAAGTAGGATAATCATAAACTACTACGAGTAATTTTAATTGTTCATTTTTATTTAAATTCAACTCCTTTGTACAAGTAACTAAACTAAATAGTCACGTGAGTATAAGCACACTCGCATAGACATACATACACACAAATAAGAGGATAGATCACAGTTGTGTTTTTGTTTAAAATAACAAACACATAAATAATTCACTATTAGTTTTAAGAACAATAATAATAATGTTGATGATTTTACTGTTTACTACAAAGGGTGAAAAACACAAACACATGAAGTCAGCCATGTGTGTATAGATGCATCATAACATCAAAGTTGAAAAAGATTTCAAGAAGAAAAAAATTTTGTTGCACTTTTTCCATTTCAATGTAATAAACACTTCTTTTTTAATCAAAAAAATAGTCAGTGTATATTGTTGAGATTATTTCCAATTTTACAAAGAACAAGGAAATACATAAAAGTGGCAAACACGCAAAAAGAGAATGATTTCGTATTCGTTCTAAACAAATATGATAAATGAAAAGGAAAGAACACAGAATGAGGACATGACGGAGACGGAACAACATCGAAAAAAGTGAGAACCTCTGTAAAAAGAAAAGGGAATGATTGATGAATTAAACAAAAAACAATGATCCAAATTCACGTTCCCAAACAGCTTGACTTGATTTATTTAATTTCTTCGATAATTTTATACCACCACTACAGTCGCCAGTGCGATTACCACCGCCAATAGGTAAACTAATATTGGTATTGAACTGCTCAGAATTGAATTTATTATTGACTGTATCACTGACAGATGAAGGATTAAAATTTTCACGCCCTTGTATTTTTCTTGGACCATTCGCAATAGGTGGAGACATATCATTTAGATAGAAGTCACAAGATGATATATCATCAAATACTTCAGCCATATGTGCACGTACTGAATGTGCCTAATATAGTGAACAACAACAGATAAGACATATATATTAACACTAAAATGTACTTATGATGAACGAAAATGGTTATTTTCTTGACAGACTGACGTCAATTGAATAATTATTTAAAACTGTACATCACTAAACGTGTTCTCTTTGGTTTAGTTTTTGGATTTCACAGTAACACGTTCTACTCATGGGATACATCAATCTTATGACTATGGTTTATTCAGTGGATATACAATATTTTTAAACTTCTTAGATTATAGCTACTGATTAGCAACTTTAGGCTGTTTACAATAAAACGCAACTATCACGTTATATATATATATCGACAAGTTCTGCCCTCAATATAATTGTAATTCACATATATCACCTAACTATCCCTGATTTTCGTTGGTTCCCTCTTCGGCAATAATTCTAACAAGCTAATAAATTAAAGATCGTTAACAGAAATATTTTCTGAAATTAAATACAGATTACCAATTGGCTGTTTGGTTTTAATTCTGAATCTAACATAAGACATTGTGCACAAACTAAACAGTGGTAGTTTACTCACAGCAAGATTCAAAACTAATGAGGCTTTGATTTTGATAGGAAAACGTTTTTACAGAAATTTCTCCAACGATATTGACAGTGAACAAATGCTTGTCGTGTAACGCATTCAATAACTACCATATTCAATTTCTATTCTCAATTGTTAGATTATTTCGAATTCATTTTTGTATTTAGCTGGGTGCTATTGATTGTTTGAATGTCAATCCATCTATCCCGTGTGTGCAAACCGAGGTACGGCACTCACATTTTCCTTAGTTCACAGAAATCATACACGCTTTAGACTGAACACTTTGAACAATAACGGCAACAGCGTAGCTACTGCCCAAACACAAATTTGCCAAGCGTTAAATAATGAGTTTCTGAAGTCGGAAAGCTATTCATTAAAAAATGCATGCGTACGTATTTTCAATGCATATACGAGGTGATACCCCCTTTAATATCTTTAAATTTTTGCAGATATGTATAAAGAACAAAGTACAAAATTCACTTTTCACGTTGTTGAGCACAGATTTCATTGAATTCAGTTGAATTAAAACATCCATCTAATAATCGATCTTCTTCGACAAACTTCGGTGGTTTTTGAATTTCTTCTCCGTCACCTATGTATATAAATGAATAAATAAGTCGAATTTGTGAAAAAACATGAATTAAAAAGTGTGCGAAGACTACACAAATGACAGTAGACATTTCAACATTTATTTGCTAATTACAGTATGACCAGGTGATATTAGTCAGTCATAGTTGTACGAATTATGAACTATTACTCTATAATCGTATTTCCTTCAACATGGAAAAAAATTAGTCGATGAAAGAAAATCTCATAAAGTCATATCCAAATTACGAGACTACACATGACATCATTTATGTATAGCGACATTTATGCAAACGATGAAATTATTCAGAAAAGTCAGTCAATCAGTTATAATCAACTGCATCACTAACACTGATTCTAGGCTATAAACAGGTATATACATATATGCATGCCTGACAGCTGAAAGACTACCTATTGACAACTATCAACTATTCATTCATAGTCATTGTCACTTACGAAGCGATCTTGCAAAAACATATTTAACTCCAGATTGTTCTTTGAAATCAATTTTGACTTTTATAGCATCAATCTTAATTATTATTGCACAAATATTTATACTAATATCCGGTTTCACTCTGCATACTATTACATAAATCTAAATGTATTCATCCGAGTGCTTTAACGGATTTTTATTTTATTTTTTCAATTGCTGGTTTCCTTCAGAGGTTGATATTCATTACACAATTATTATTCTTATCATGGATCAAAACTTTTCACTAGGTGTTCACTTCTTTTCTCTCTCTTTTTTCTCTCTAAATAAATATTATTCTTAAGATTACGAAGTTTGTAATTAAAACAATAACTTGTGTTACACTTAAATTAAATTCTCAGACCCGTTTTATCTTCACTATGCATATATGACTCATACATAATGATATTTTATTATCCTTTTCATTTAATTGTAACTTTCATAGCATCACTCCAATGATAACTGCACAAACATTTATTCTAGTGTCATATCTTACTGCAATTATAAGTTATTTTTTCTTAATTATTTTTTGTTACTAATTTAACGATACACACATATATATCACATAGTTCTGATAATCTTCGTCTTCTCATTGCATTATCGAGATACACACATAGTCGTTTATTCTTGTTCTGTGTTCGTAAACACGCCTATTAGACTGTTTGCGTATTTCACGTCTCCTTTATTTCTATTCCCTTATTTTCTCCATTTCCTTCTTTAAACTCAATTCAATATTCTTCTCAATTGCCCAGACCCGATTTATTATTATTAATATTCTACTATTATTGCTCAAAATTTTTTTTTAAATGGTCAGTAGAATGCTGACATTATTGAAAATTGTGTATTATTGCATTTTTTTGAAGAAACCCGAAATGGTTTCTTCACAACACTTATGTACCCATGAGATGTTTGTGAATAATAATAATAATAATAATAATAATAATAATAATAATAACTACTACTGTGGTGTGCTACTTATATTGACATAAGTAGTATATAACGTTACTCGTGAACAGAAGGCCTGGCAGCAGAGAGACAAGAGGATCGAGAAGTAAAAAATAGAAACAGAGTGCAATTTGTATGAAAATGCGAGAACAATCAAGTCTGAGCCATTTTGAGACAATCGACGGACATTCTGAAAATTAAGCATTTATTTTATGATTGTTAGATTTTATTAACAAGTCCTGTAATTTTGTGCTAAAAATACATTCGATTGTCCCCACGGCTGTTCTTCTCACTACACTACTACTACTACTACTGCTACTACTACTACTACTACTACTACTACTACTACTACTACACTGTTTTACGTTCCATCGAGTAATGTTCGCGTTAATCATGATAGGGAAAGAAAACGCTAATATCCTTATGAAATGAAAACATTTGTTAATTATCCAATAAAATACCCGACATGCTTTATGTCTCGCTAGGCAAAAAAGAGTATATTTACACGATGCAAGTGAAATTGTCTTGTTCAAGGAAAAAGAGAGGAATTTAGAAAAACAATTAGGATTAATGCCGATTAAGGAATTTCTTTATTTCATTTTATATTTTAAATATTCCGGTTAAATTAAAAACAATATTAACCTTGAGGTATTACTTGATTTTAGAAACCAGTGAAATTTACAGGATGCAAATAAGAACACGAAAACTGATGTAGAAAATTTATTCCACCGTGCAAAATACACGAATTGTTGCGACGGTAGCTAAATGATGCTGACATCTTGATCCCGTGAATCGCATGACACAAATAATAACGCGAAGATAATAGATAAGGATTTATTTCACACCGAAAATAAATCAAAACTAATGTCTGAATACATCAATTCCGTATGATTTACATTGATTAACAGTGAATTTTTTGTATATTAAACTGAGTATTACTAGACACTAATTTGCCAATAATGAATATTTACAATTCAAAATTAACCACCTATAACCAACAGATATATCTAATGTAATCACACCATATTATAATGTGATTTCACATTATACGCGATTGGAAAAAACCCAATTGAGTATGTCATTTGAGCCGTCATCAATTAACATTGTTGCTCATCATATAAATGAATAATATCTGTACTAGTGTAAACGGTAGTGTTTGATTGGATCAATATTGAAATGAGAGAATAATATTAAAGCAATAAATATGTTAGGGTTTTTTTTTCATGGACTGCTGCAGCAGCACAAAAACATTTTTCTGCAAAGATTACATTCACGTAAATATTGAAGAATTTATACGTAATCAACTGATATAATTTAAATTAATAAAACAATAGTGATAACGACTTAGTTAATGTAGAAAGAAATATATTTATCTTTTTAGAAAAGTTACAGAAATCAACACATTCAGTACGTAAATACAGGTAGAGTTTATGCAGAACTATAGAGTCAATAGTTTATACAAACCGAAACAAACAATGCTATAACTACTACTGCTACATTTTATTCTTAATTCACTGTTCGAATTCTTTTATACTATGTAATTTAACTGTATCAACATAACAGAGAAAATAACTTCCAAACTTTTCGTAAATACGCAATTGATGCAAGTAGTCAGAGAATAGTATGAGATCCAAAAACAAAAATGGGAAAATCTAAGACCGGTATGATTGATAAAGTATTTGATTGAGTGACGATTGAATGATCATTTGATAAAATGGGCCGAATGAATGATTTAGAATCCTAGTGAAATAATCGTTGAAAAAGTGAACTCTCATTTCAATGAATATTAATGTTTTAAGGAACTAAAGCTATGAAGAAGACTGAATAACAATTAGTTACTAATAATACAGTGAATGGTTAATAAAGAATAAAAATAAAAACCTATAAAACAATCGGTAGAGATTTACATCGCATTAACAATAACAAAGAACTGTAAAATGATCAACATTTGGATAAAGGCAATTTAATAGCAGAGAGAAATTTGTAACTTGGGTAGATGGACTCAGTAAAGCTGAATCTCATAAGCTCGATGGTTTAATTTATGGAGATTTATAGTTCACTCTTGAAAATATTACCATTAACCGTATGGCTTCTTAAAAGTTTTGAAATTATATCATACTCTTTATTTTACCGACTTACAAAAAATCAAAAGAGAAATAACCTCGTTTATCATTAATTTAATAGATATTAACTGAGAATTCAAAAACTAACTTTTACCATACTTAATTAAACGGAAGATATTTTAATAAGATCTTATTTTAATTAATTACGTTAGCGAAAATTACTTACCTTTAAAAAACACATCTAGACAAGTCGGAAAAATTTAAATAATTAAGTACAGAGAACAAATGAATGTGAGTTAATGGGCGAGAGAGTTTAAAGTAATGAACAGACAATAGATTATCAAGCCAAATCACCGCATAACAAAATAATAGAGACTAATTAGGAATGAAAATAGTTGACCGATTCTGGCATCCCAAACACTAAATGAATGCACAGGTTTTGAAAAAAAGTTCATAAACTTGCCAAAATTCTCCCTCGTGATTATTTTCAGACTAAAGTAGTATAGAAGTTTAATGGAAATTACTTAATCTGATGAATGGGTAAAATCAATTGTTGGTATAATATTCCCTTGCCAGATCCAAAACCATATATTTAATGGATCCTATCACACGATGATAATAATCTGTATAATTATAGCTGCCTTCGTTAGTTTGTTTTCCTAACATACTAGTGATAACTGAAATTGTCTCATTAGATTATCAATTAGAAATAGCAATGAAATATTAAGGGTTTTAAATTTCGTCATAATTTTAACAAATTATCTATTTCCACATGATATACAATAATGTAACGGTTCGTTATCTGATCTTCCATACAAGTTAACAGTCAGTAATAATGAGAATTATCGCACTGAAGAGGACTGAATACAATAATGTAACAGTTCGTTATCTGATCTTCCATCAGTCAGTCAGCTACAACGTAGGACCAGGCACATGTATGCATCGGCCCAGGTTGCCATACCTCATTAGCACAGCAAGATGAACACTGGATTCATAGGAGTGGTTAGGTCAAAGGTGGTAATATATAGGAGAAAGATTGCAATAAGGATATAGTATAGGAAGAAAGAATTAGTTCGTAGAAAGAAAGATGTGAAGTGATCTTAATCTCTTAGTTTAAGAGAAGACAGAGAGTGTATACACCGACGCCATTGTGATCGATTCTGAGCCATGTCACCAAGGGTCTCCAACCATTGGTTACGAAAGTCACGCGGACCCCAACCAAGTAGTCTGCATCTACCAACATGGCTCAGACTAGAAGTTAGTGACTTCAGGCACTGATGCCACGTTTTGGTTTGGCCGCCCCTAACTTTCTTCCAACCATCCCCTACACCGGTTAGCATTGCACGTCGCGGTAATCGGTGTTCAGGCATACGTAATACGTGGCCCAACCATCTCAGTCGATGAAGATTCATAACCTCATCAACTGATTTACCATCATTCCCTAATACCCTGCGTCTAACCTCACTATTACTTACCCGGTGATCCCAGCAGATGCCAGCAATATTTCTAAGGCATCTGTGGTCAAATACT